CATTAAGATAGAATGTAAAATACAATGCACAAAAGCAATGAAATGTTCCAACAACCTTATGCCAACGTCTCAGTTATATTAGATGAAATAAGTAATTCCTTGAAAGATACAAGTTACCAAACTGGCACAAGAAGAAATAGAAAAATCTGAGTAGTGCTTTATCTATTACAGAAATTGAAGTTGTAATTTTCCCACAAAGAACTCCCCAGGGTTTCACTGGTGAAATGTATCAAAGGTCTAAGGAAGAAATAATGTCGTTACACAAACAACTTCAGAAAATAGATGTGGGGAGACTAATTCACCACTCTTTGAGAGCAATGCTACCATGATATCAAAACAAGACAAGGCGTCCTCTCACTTCTAATGAAAATTGTATAAGATGCCCAGCAATAAAGCAAGAAAAAGGAGCAAAGTCTATACAAACTAGAAAGGCAGAAGTAAAATTCTTTGATTATCTACATAGAAAATGCTGAAGAATCTAGAAAAAAGCTACTGGAACCAATAAATGAATTCATCTAGGTTGCTGGATACAAGGTCAATTAACAAAAATCAAATGTATTTCTACACACTGGCAATGACAATTGGAAAAGGCTTTTAAAAAACCAAGACGGAAATCAAAAAGTGTAAAATATAAACAGTTTTGGTAAATTAGACTTAATCAAAAAAATTTTAATCTGACCTTCAAAAGACATCATTAATAAAATTAAAAAATAAGCCAAGAACTCGCTGTCGGCCTTCAGCTGCTTCGTCACTGCCGCCTTCAAAGACCAGAGCAAGTCTCGCGCATCACGCTGAAAAACGTGGAAGACGTCACGTTTTTGAAAGATATGAACAAAAAAATTCTTTTTTTTGACGATGGAAATGGTCTCAAGGGAAACAGGAATGTCACTTTAACCCTATCTTGGAACGTTGTACCGAATGCTGGCTGGAACTCTACCTCATGTGACAGGATCAGGACATGTATCTGTCCCATTTCCAGACACATATGAAATAACAAAGTTATTAAATTATTCTGAATTTGAAACAGCATATTTTTACACCTAAGGAATTGTAACTCATTTATCTCTTCCCTTGCAGCATCTTCATCTGTTATTTGGTTGTTAATTTCTTTCTCTTTGGTGTAATAATGAACATCAAAAGGCATATTTGAGGGGAAAGGTTAATGTGCTACTTAAACTTAATTTTACAAGCAAAAACAAAGACCACCAGAGTGGAGTATTACAAGAATAAGACAACCACACAGTAAGGATTTGTAAAATATTTATATTTGAAGTGTTCCCCATATTTCCATTATTCTTTATGTAATATGAAGTGAGCACAAAGGGTAGTTAAAACTTTCAGGTGAAAAAAAAAACTTTCAGGTGCCTGTGGAGTTATAAGAACTCTATTTATGCTTTGCATTTATGCAAGTTCACATTGCATGTGATTTAGAAGCAGACATCCTCTTTTATATTTTAGGGTATGTCTGAATACTGGAAAAATTAATACAGTTATTGGTGAGAAGCCTGGTTATAGCCAAAAGTGATGAGATTTTATTTCATTTGTCTTAGGAATGCCCACAACGCTTGTTTTTCTTACAGGTGACTAGCAACTTTCTCCACTAAAGACTAAATACCACTTTATATGCTATAAATCACTCCAAATCATTTTAAGTCTCTTAAGTCAAAAAAAAAAAAAAAATAGGTAAGCCCAAGACTAAAAGGAAGTATTCATGGGCTTCCCTGGTGGCGCAGTGGTTGAGAGTCCGCCTGCTGATGCAGGGGACACGGGTTCGTGCCCCGGTCCGGGAGGATCCCACATGCCGCGGAGCGGCTGGGCCCATGAGCCATGGCCGCTGAGCCTGCGCGTCCGGAGCACCTGTGCTCCACAACGGGAGAGACCCGCGTACCGCAAAAAAAAAAAAAAAAAAAAGGAAGTATTCATAATAAATATATGTTTGGGGGAATTCCCTGGCGGTCCAGTGGTTAGGACTCAGCGCTTTCACTGCTGAGGGCCCGGGTTCAATCCCTGGTCGGGGAACTAAGATCTCACAAGCCATGTGGTGCGTCCATAGATAAATAAATACATGTTTGGGAAGAGACTTTGACCTAGAATATAAAAAAGACTCTCATAAGTAAATAAGACAAACCACCCAATTTTAAAATGGGCAAAAGATGTGAACAGACACATCACAAAAAAATGATACAGATGTTCAGCATCATCATTCAGCAGGCAAATATAAATTAGAAGCAAAAAGAGACATCGCTATATGCCACTGGAGCGGATTAGGGTTTGGAACCGTGACAACACCACATGCTGGTAAGGATGTGGACCAGTGGAACCCTGGCAGTGCAGGAGCGTAAAAGTCTACAATCACGATGAAGAACTTTTTGGCAATTTCTCATGAAGTTAAAATTCACGTATCTTATAATCCAGCAATTAAGTTCCTAGGCATTTACCCAAGTGAAATAAAGAGGCACGTCCAAATAAATACTTTTATGGAAATGCTCATAGCAGTTTTATTCATAACAGCCAAAGCTGGAAACCCAAATTTCCATCAACAGATGAATGGATAATAAATGATGCTTTTACCCATACAATGGAACGCTACTCACAGAGAAAAAGAGCTATGGAAACACAGAGCTACCCTGCTGAGTCTTTAAAACATGCCAAAGTGAAAGAAGTTTGGATCACACAGGATTACATGCCATGTGAATCCATTGATATGAAGTCCTGGAATAGGCATAACGAGTCCACACGAACAGAGAATGGTTACTTGGGCCTGAGGTGGGATTAACTGGGAAAGGACAAAAGGGAACATTTTGGGGTGACAGAAATGGTATTCTTGATCATGATGATGGTTATACAGGCATATGGATTTGTCAAAATTCTGTACACTTAAAATAGGTGTTTTACTGTATGGCAACTGGACCTCAACCAAACAAAGTTGGTTAAAATGGTCTGGTAATATCTGCTTCTATACCATTTGAAACATCTCCAGTAATGGTAAGTTTTCCAAAAGATGGAGTACTGTATGCTCTTTTTGAATTATTTACCCCCTCAAGGCTTCTAGGATTGCTGGAGTTTAAGAACTCAAGATATGCCCTCATGGGCAATCCATTATCACAGCATTTCAAACTGGTTGTTTTGTTAATGTTCAGATAAAAGAAATTCAGATAAAAGAAACAGTTCTGCTGTGTAATAAAACTGGCCTGCTTTTGAACAGCCCTACCCAGAGAGGGATCCACCAGTCCTCCCGTTTCTCCAGATTCCCTCCCAGATCATCCTCTGCTCTAGCTGAGAAATGTCTACTTATCTCTGTAGGCCAGTTTGCTGTCACCTCCTCTGTGAAGCCGTCCCAGTTGCCCCATGCCAAATTAGTCACCTCCTTACCTATGCTCCTGCACAGCTGGGAACACACTTCTCTTTCAACACTTAACTCAGCGTACCGTGACCTTCCTGCCTCCCCCATCAGACTCTGGACGACTTCAGGACAGATGGCGTCTCATTCTTCTCGGTTTCCCAGTATTTAGCACTGGTCCTTTTAGATAATTACATTTTCAAATCAGTGACAAAGTGAGCCAGAGAGCAGGGAAAGGGGAGGACGTTGGGCTCAATCACGGAATGGCTGAGACAGGAAAAGTCATGTAGTGCACCAGGACTGTGCACCCTTTGAATGAATCAGAAAGATACACAGATGACTGACTGAGGACAAGCCTCCCCCAGAGCAAGTGGACAGTCACGGACAAGCCGTGAAGGCAAAAACACAAGGGGCGCCATCTCACTCTGGCTCCTGCCTGCAAGTGCTGAACGCAGTATGAGCCGAAGATGCCAGCAGGGCCGAGAGGAGGTATTTCCGACAGACCAGCAGATTACACAAAACAGCAACAACAAAAAGAGCATCCGAAAACATATTTTAAAGAGCAGTATAGAGAGGACAAGCCAAGTACACAAGGACGGGGCTGTGCTTTTTACTGCCTTGCTCTAGACGCCAGGGACACATAAATCAATCAGATACACTCACTGTGCTCCACGAGTTAACACTGCAACAAGGAAAGAGAGAGGATCTGAAACACGATTTTGACATATCAGAGTAAGCGCAGTAACAGAGGTGAAGGACCACTGAGGAACGGAAGCACAGGGGTAGCGGGCTGAGCCGAGAGTCAGCCGGGTGAGGAGAGGGGGCATTCCAACCAGGACAGAGGCAAGGAGGCAGGAGCGGCCTGGGTAAATGGGGACGTCCAGCAGTTAGTGCTGCCGCAGTGCCAACGGTGCGGCAGGGAGTTAACCGGCGGGAGAAAAGGCCCCAGGAAGCAAAAGGCCTCCGGATGCAGGATGGGGAGATTGGAACTTATCCTAAGGACGACAGGGAACCAATTTGTGGTTTTAGATAAGAAAGGATGTTTCTCCAACTTGCCTTTCTGAAAGATCAAAATATGCTAAGGAGGGGCTTCCCTGGTGGCGCAGTGGTTGAGAGTCCGCCTGCCGATGCAGGGGACATGGGTTCGTGCCCCGGTCTGGGAGTATCCCACATGCCGCGGAGCGGCTGGGCCCGTGAGCCATGGCCACTGAGCCTGCGCGTCCGGAGCCTGTGCTCCGCCACGGGAGAGGCCACAACAGTGAGAGGCCCGCGTACCGCAAAAAAAAAAAAAAAAAAAGCTAAGGAATACTCTTTTAAAGTGATACGATTAGATACATAATTCTACTTTAGAAGGGATTTAACTCTGGGGTGAATTGTGATTGTGCAATGAAACAGAAGAACCTTCTCCCGAGACCGGGCTCCCCCGCCCCAGGCTGGTCCAGCTCCAAGTCAGCTGTCCAGTCACGTGGCTCTCCCGCGGGCACGTGCTCCCAGCGGAGGAGGAAGACAGCGGGCCGGCTGGGCAGCCAAGTGGGAGGTGGCAGCCCACTCCAGAGGCAGCCCTGCCGGTGACTCTGGGAAATGGTGACACGTCCAAAGCCGCATGACTTAGCGCTCACACCACTCGCTTCGACTATCACTCAGTGAGTTGGAGAATAGTTTACAAGTCTGTGTGCTCCCCCTGGCCTACATACTTCTCACCCAAATGTATGGGGGTCTAACTCAAGGGAAGTCCCTCTTGGTGAACCTCTTGACTGCCTTTAAAGTTTGGAGTTGAGGTGAACTCTGTCCCATACTGACTACATTCATAGAGTCTGTCTTCAGCATGAATTTTCTGGTGCTGAAGGAAGTTTGACCTCTGAATAAAGCCTTTCCCACAGTAACTACATACATAGGGCTTCTCTCCAGTGTGAATAACCTGGTGTAGGAGGAGCTTGGAGCTCTGAATGAAGGCTTTCCCACAGTCCTTACACGCAAAGGGCCTGTCCCCAGTGTGGATCTTCTGATGCTCAGTGAGATGGGCTTTCTGGAGAAAAGCTTTCCCACATTCCTTACACTCATACACCCTCTCTCCAGTGTGGATCTTCTGGTGTCGAATAAGGTACGAACTCAGAAAGAACGCTTTCCCGCACTCGTTACATTCATAGAGCTTCTCTCCAGTGTGGATCCTCTGATGCTGAGTGAAGTTCGACGTCTGGCTGAAACGCTTCCCGCACTCGTTGCACACGTAAGGCCTCTCTCCAGTGTGGATCCTCTGGTGCTGGATGAGCTTCGAGCTCCGGATGAAGGCCTTGCCGCACTCGTTGCACTCGTAGGGCCTCTCCCCGGTGTGGATCCTCTGGTGCTCGATGAGGTCCGAGCGGTGGCGGAAGGCCTTCCTGCACTCCTCACACTCGTACTGCCTCACCTCCGTGTGGACCTGGTAATGCCGGATGAGGCTGGAGCTCCGGATGAAGGCCTTGCCGCACTCGTTGCACTCGTAGGGCCTCTCCCCAGTGTGGATCCTCTGGTGCCGGATGAGCAGCGAGCTCTGACTGAAGCCTTTCCCGCATTCCTTGCACTCGAAAGGTCGCTCCCGGGTGTGGACGCGCTGGTGGCGGATCAGGTCTGAGCTGTGACAGAACGCCTTCCCACACTGAGCGCACTTGAAGGGCCTTTCTCCCGCGTGCGCTTTCTGATGCTCCACAAGATCCGCGTAGAGAACGAAGTCTTTCCCACACGCGTTACACACGTAGAGTCTGTCTCCGCCGTGAGCGCGCGGATGCTCCACGAGGTGGGAGCTCTGGCCGAAGCCCCTCCCACACTCGTCACGTCTGTGAGATTTCTCCCCAGCCTGAGAAACCTGATGTCTGACCAGGTCCGAATTAAACGGGAAGCTTCCGCAAGCCTCGCGCTGGTGGGCCTCCCCTTCGATCAGCTCTCTCTGAAGCAGGAGGAGGTTTGAGCTCAGGACGGGGCTTCCTCCTGACTTACTGCCCACCTGCGCTGCCTCTCCTGTTTGGATCTTCCAGTGGGTAACTGTCACCTGCTTGAAACCTCCCTCCTGGGAGGGGCAGCTCCGCAGGCTCTGCCCGTCCAGGTTTCCCAACAGCCCCCCTAATCTGGGTTCAGGGCCCCCGCCAGGTGCAGGGGCAGCGAGCTCCATCACTGTGAGGGCTTCAGACACTGTCTTCTGCAGATTTCCATGCTCAGAAATTCAGGCTCCGGAGTCACCTTCTAGTCACCAGTCAGTCTGCAATCAAAGAGAGTACGGTTATCTTTCCCCTTCCTTAACAGACGGGAACCTGCTGGACCGGGCGGGCGGGTAGCAAAACGCATATCCAAGGAATGGGAGAGAGGAAAATGTTCCCTCTGCCCACACTCCCGGCCCAGCACCGCGCTCGGCTCACCCCGCCGGCCTCTCCGCTGGTGAAGGCCTCTTTGGGCTCCACCGCCAACACCAACTCCAGGGGACAGACTGGCCGATGGCAGATGGGCAGGGATGTGGCTTGGACTCCACTCAAAAATCAAGACATATTCCAAAGAAACGCAGATGGATCGCTCTTACCACCTCTGCGCTGCCCCTCCTTCCCCAGCTTAGATGACCGATGGGATTATTCATTTGGGCTATATATTACACTCATTCTCTTGCATATTAATCCTAACTCCCCTGCCCTTCCCCTCCTCTATCATACTTGTGTGGGAAAACCCCAACTCGAGTAAAATTCAGCTTGCTTCCTGATCGGTGTCTGCACCCCTGCCGACTCAGTTCTCTCTACATTTATAACCACTTGCCTAACGGACCCTGAGAGCTGCCGGCAATTTCTACACTTGGCTAACTCCCCTGTAAGATCATCTCCTGGTTTCTCCTCTCAAATGTCCAACACGCCGTCCTTCCTCTCAGGGACGATGACCTTGCGTCTTCCTTCAGTGGGAAAATAGAAGCAATGAGACGAGAATGCCCACTTTCTCCCACATTTACCAACCTACCTGTGTTTGCGCCCACACCACACCCTCCCTCTTTAAGGGGCTAAATGTCCTTGATCGAATCCAAGGTAAAGACGTCCACCTGTGCACCCCCGGCCCTGCCCTGCAGAAGTCTGGGGTTGGAATGTTCACCACAGCCCTGTTCATATCACCAAAATATCCATCAACAGAACAAAGGGTAAACTGAGGCATCCTCCAACAAGGGAGGAATGCATAGCAATGAAAAGACCTGCCCCACACAAAAGCACAGGTGAACCTCACAGATGTAACGGTGAGCCAGAGTTCATATCATATGATCCTATTTATACAAAATTCAGAAACAGACAAAACCAACCATGGTGGGAGACTCGAGCCAGTGATGGTCTCTAGGGAGATCATGGCTGGCAGGGGGTGCAGGGAGGCCTCAGGGTTCTGGTGACCTGCACGTGGGCCTCGCTCCACAGGTGTGTTTGCTTTGTAAAAGCCTGTGCTTATTTAACCTCCCACGGTCTCTGGGACGCTGTGCCCAGCTCCCTTCTCCAGCTCTGGAATTCTCGCACCCGGAGCTGAGCTTCGTTGCAGTCATGCCCTCTCCGTTGCGAGCCATCCATCATTATGTAACAGTTTACCTCAGACTTCCAGCAGAAAAGGGACCCAGCTCCCATCTCACAGGGCCGTAGGTCGGAAGTCCAGCCTGGTACGACTGGGGGCCCTGAGAAGGGTCGCACAAGGTGTCAGCCAGGCTGAGGTCTCCTCTGGAAGCTCTGGGAAAACGTATTTCCACACACTCGGGTTGTTGGCAGAAGGTGGTCCCCTGCACTTGTGGAACTGTCCCCGATCACTGGCTGGTGGCCCCTCGGGAGCACCCGCACCTTCCAGGCAGGAGCAGCTCAGACGCCCTCTCTGATTCTCTTCCGTGACCAGCTGCAGAAAGCCTGCTTTCCAAGGGCTCCCCGACTAGCCCTACCTTATGTCAACTGACCGCCAGAGCCCTCCCTGGCAGCCGGGAGGGGTGCACAGTCGGGGCCATCTCAGGACCCTGCCTGCCACACCCCAGCTGGGGCCCAGCCCACAACGGAGCCCAGAGCACCCCAGTCTCCACCTGGGGCAACTCGGAAGGGTCACCCAGCCCCAAAGCTCCACTGGGATGTGCCTGGGCCTGTTTCAAACCCACTGCCCGATCCCTCCTTCCTCACAGGTGCATCCCCGAGCGTGCCCCCGAGCTGCGCCCACTTCCCAGGAGCTCCGTCCAAGACGACCCTGCATGCTCACCTCTCACCCCAAATCTGCACCAGTGGGAAGCAGACCAGTTGCTATGCAGCCCCACAAAGCGATGCCCTCCAAAACCCATTTCCAACGTGGCTGCCAAGGACAAGGATGTGCCAGTGAGGGCACAGCCAAGCAGAGGGGAGCAGCCCGGGGGCAGGAAAGTGGCGTAACCAGGTAACACGAGCTCTATGGCCGCAGGGCTCCTTCCCAACAGGCTGTTCTTTTTTCTTCGCGAGGCGCAGCTCGCATCAAGTGCACACATCTCGATGAACTCCTGGCGTACACCTGCCTAACCACCAACACTTCCATAGCCCAGTGGCTCCCCCTCCAAGGGGAACCATCTTTATTATTATAGGTGAATTCTGCATGTTTTCAATTTCAATTAAATGGAATCATACAGTTATGTTTTGTGTCTGCTTTTTATTCAACATGTACCCACTTTTTATGGATATAGAATTCACACACCATAAAATTCACCATTTTAAAGTGCACAATTCAGTGCTTTTTATAATACCCCTAAGGTTGTAGAATGTTCCACACTATCTAATTACCTCCCGGGCACTGTCATGACCCCACCACGTGTCTGCTGATGCTGAGCGCCGCACTGGGGAGGCCACTTGTGTGGCACAGACCTCACGGTGTGCGGCCTCCACTGCGTGAACACACCGCCACGCGCCTTCCTCTCTCCTATCCACCAACACCGAGGGGCTGGCAGCTCGGGCTTGGGGACAGAGCTGCCATAACTGGTCCTGTGCTTGTCTTCTGGTCGACAGAGGTGCTCATTTCTGCTGGGTCCTGGGACTCCTTCACTTCAGTGGCCACCAGTTCAGGCCGCTCTTGCAGACTCCACTGGGAACTGCAGCGGCTGTGGACCAGCGACTGCTGTGGGTTTGGGGTTCTTCCCCTTCCTGAGTGGAGGCATCTATGTGGTGGGTGAGGAGACAGCATTTGGGGAGGCTGGGACTTGTCTGAGTTTAGACTGTGACCACGTGAAGAGGCCCTGGTGCCGGGAGAAGGCCACACACAGAGGTCTTGGCTCTGGGTGGGAAGCACTTAACTGAGCAGGACCTGGTGTGGGACCCAGGGCGGCCGATGGGGTAAACTGTGGCAGAGACACACTGCCCGGCGTCCCTGCTTCCTCTGAGTGATTGAAACCCCTCCAGAAATTTTAGTGGACACACAGCAGTGAATGACTTCATTTCCTGAAGTCCCCTGAAGTGAGGTGTGACCCTGTGACTGATTCCAGCTATGAGACAGGAACGGAAGGGATGTGCGCATGCCACCCATCTCCCACCCTCTCGCCCACCTGCGGTGACGTATGGTAGGCTCCAGGGCGCTGGAGGGGCAGAGCCACCCACCTGCCTGTGAGACAGAACACAAGAAACCAAGTTTCCTGTTGGAAACACTATTTTTGAATCTCTGTTACAGCAAAATGAACCCATGCTTAAATACTGCTATTAGACAACGTGACTATTCAGATGCAACGTTCCCTGTGATGATAAAGAAACTGAACCCGCACACCAAGAGCTGACAATGAGGATGAGAAGCTGAGCACAAGTCTATGCGAGGCATTTCTCTCCGTGTGAGATTTGCAACACAGCTTCCTGGAGCAGCAGCCCTCTTGGGGTGCCCTGTGACACAGCATTTACGACCACTGCCTGGTGACGTTCGCTGAGAATGTTCTTCCAAGTTAAAGGCCCACTAACATGGTTTAAAATCTTTTCTGCTTACAAAAATTACTTTTAACTAGTTATTTTTTCAAGGTATAAAGGTAAACTCTGCTATTCAAGAAAAACTTTAAAAATAACAATAAAATTACCCTTAACCCCACCACTCAGATTACACATGGACATTTTTCCTCTGGTGCTTTTCTGCACCAATGTATTACGAAATCAGGACCACACTCCTCAGTCTCATATCCTGTTTTACTTTACTTTTATATCTTGTTAATTCTTAGCGATTAAAAACATAAGATACACATTGTAAAAGTATTTCAAGGGGTAAACATAAAATATAGACTATGATAACCCCCAGCAATCCAACAGAGAACCACTGTTAGCTGTTCAGTTTATACACATTCATCCAGACCTCTGATTAAACAAAAACAATGATACATTTACTTAGGTACACACGATTTTCAGATATAAACATGGGATCACACTATACCCATCCACCTGCAACACTTTCTGGCATTCTTCAAGTTCATTCACACAGATGCACCTGGCGTTCTGAGCAGCAGCGTTGCCAGCACAGGCGCTCAGAGGCCCTACTACACATCAGGTGCCACAGGCAGACCATCCCTGTGCCTCTGGTGTCACAAGGATGCTCCCTGACGTATTCTGCCTGCTTCTCTTCCCCAGACAGGTGGAAGGAGTTAGCCAAATGAAAGGTTTGAGAGAATAACCAGGCATGCAGCACCCAACCTCTTGGACAAGGTGTCCAGCAGGCAGGACAGTGTCTAACCAGCACTCGCCTGAGAAGTCCAATGTCACTCCAACCTAGGCTTTGACCAATAGTGAGGTGACCTCTCGCTCTTCATGGGCCTCACTGGCGCAGACTTGGGAGGGCAGGAGGGGTGCTACTGATGAGGGCCCCTCAAACCCCAACCAGGCAGTGCTGAACTGGCCTGCATGGTCTCAGGGACACCTCCAAACCTTGTGAGGCAGCTATTACCTCTATTATTTACTCTATTTCACAGAGGCTGAGAAAGTCAATTACCCAAGGCTGTTAAGTGGCAGAGCTCAGGTTGAGAGCCAGGCCTGTCTACCTCCACTGCCCATTTCCTGCTATTGAAGATTTTTTTCCCTTCCCAACTATGATGTCACTTTTACAGGATATTTTGCTTAGATCAGCTGGGATTAGTATTATAAAAGTAAGCTAGGGCTTCCCTGGAGGCTCAGTGGTTGAGAGTCTGCCTGCCGATGTAGGGGACATGGGTTCGTGCCCCGGTCCGGGAAGATCCCACATGCCGCGGAGCGGCTGGGCCCGTGAGCCATGGCTGCTGAGCCTGCGCGTCCGTAGCCTGCACTCCGCAACGGGAGAGGCCACAACAGTGAGAGGCCCAGGTACCACAAAAACAAAAACAAAAACAAAAAAAAAGGGGGGGAAGACTTGGTTTTTTGTTTTGGAGGTGATATTTTCTGATTTTTTTGTTCAAAATGACTGTTATACCATCTGAAAACAGGCTTGCATATACTTACAAGAATATAGCTTTAAAAATGTATGCCTTTTCATGATTTTCATAACTTTTTTTAACTTTAGCGGAAGTTTTAAAAACTAAGTATACCTTGCTTTGAATAAACATTTATCTTAAATTCAGCAATCTTTCAGTTTCTGCTTAGCTCCTTTTTCTTCTGTGAATTCAAGCAAAATTAAATTGATAATATTTCATTTAAAGAAACCTGAATGAAATGAACAAAGGAAGTAAAAATACGCCAGACATCTGGTTCCATAACATCCAAGGCTAACGTGGCCCACTCTTCTGTTATAACATATAGAATGTGCTGGACAAAATATAACATGAAACTGTCTAAATACACAGTTGATGCTGAGAGATGGGGCAAGCCTCAGTGCTGCGAATGAAGTGGAAGCTTAGCCTGGGAGTGGAGCCTGTGAGCAGCCCAGAGGGGCTCAGAGATGGTGAGGGGGCAGTGCCCGCTGCAGGCACTAGAAGCTGTCTGCACTGGTGAAAGGGCGTTACAGCCTTGGGCTTACAAGTTAGCCAAGGTCGCTGTCTGCTGCTTACAGCCTAAAGAAAGGAAGCAGGAAGGTTTGCAAAGCTTCACCCTTGGGAATGAATAATGGGAAAAAGAGTAAAAAGACACACGAGGAAGACACGGACTAGAGCTCCAGGAGAATCTGTACCTCTGTGCTGCCTTGCAGCGCCACTGTCATCAACCTGAGCTTCTGCCACTGCAGCCGTGTTGGGGACCGAGTGCCTGGCGTGTGCTTTTCTTCTTTCCTCACAACCATCCATGAAGTTTAGGGAGGTGACTCGTTTAAGGCTGAGCCAGCTGCTAGCTCCTACCTCCTCCTCCCACCCCACCCCATGGCCATTTGGTTTTTGCTCCCAGGGCTCTGCCCAACGATGCCAATGGTCTTCTCCCTTCCTGACAAGTTCAGTGTCCTTTCAACAGTCATATTCCACAACCCGAGGCAGCACTGGACATGCCTGACAGCTCCTTGAACTGGTTCAAGACCTCGCCCTGTTTCTGGGTCAGCTGCTTCCCTGAGCACCCCTTCCATCACTGGCTTGTGAATGTGGTCTGGGCCTTCTCAGCTCAGCCCTGCAAGCCCCATCGTCCCCAGGACCTTTCCAGGAGAGTCAGGAATCCATCACCATCACTCCAGGAAGGGCTGGAGCCGCCAAGTTAGGCTTGTGAAAGTACAGAGACCCCTCCCCACTCATTTCTCTCTGTATTCTCCATAAGAGGGATGCTGCAGTTATCACCATTATTAAGATACCGTTACAATGTTACATCTACAAAAAGTCCCACCTCTGTGGACAGGATCAAGGTATCGCCTGAAGACTCGGTTAGATTGGCATCTCTCAGACCCTAGGTGGGCAAAAGACATTTCTGTCATTCATTGGGACTGGAGCTCGGGGAAAGGATGTGCCGCAGAGAGGCTACTGCAGCGTGATGAGCTCTACAGACAAACTGCCTGAGTCCAAACTGGCCTCCAGCTAACATTCTTGGGAAACCACAGGCATGCTACTCAGGCCCTGAAGATCCCATGACCACCATGCAGCCACTGCATGAGGGGGTAAGACGTCCAGGACATCAGCAGAGACGGCCACCGGGTTCAGATACGACTCTAGAAAGGGAGCCTTCAGGGGAGAGCTGGGACAGCGCAGCCCATCACCTCTCCCCACTTGGGAGTTCTCCTTCGGGACCAGGGCTGGAGGGGATCCTGTTCATCACCTCTACCGTCGCCAGGGCAGAGATGCCGGCTCTGCACCTCCTCCAGCACAAAGAGGCTCGAGGCCCCGGCCACTTCCCCAGCATCATTTGGAGAACTCCCTTGGGCTCCTGGGAGAGGAGGCAGGCTTAGGGCAAAACAGTAGTACTAGCCGCACCTGTGCCCCCCCACCCCCCGCCAGGCCACCTCGGAAGGGCTGGTGGGCTTGAGAACTGCGACACAGACGCTGAAGCTGGAGGCTCTACGGCTTGGGTGTGTGACCCCTGGAGCCAGAGAAAGGAACCAAAAGAGTGGAACCGGGTATTCACCCACACGACGTTCCTTTGGGAGAGAAGCTGCGGGCCCCGGGCCGGACTGCAGCCCAGCGGGGGCGGCCGTGACGGCTGCCAGGAGCCGGGCTCACCGTGGCCCAGGCTCCGGGACCCCCGTGCGGGCCGACCGCGCTCAGCCCTCCCGTCCGCCCGACCGGAGGACCCTGCCGCCCCCGCCCGCGGCCCGGAACGCGCCACTCACCCGGCGCCCAGCGGCGAGAGGACGGCGCGCGCCCCGCACGCGAACCCCTGGCCGCCCGCCCCGCTGGCCTGCCCTGCTGACAAAGCCCGCACGGCAGCCCGCACGCCGCCGCCGGAAATCGGCCCGAGGCCCCGCCCGGGGAGCTTCCGGTGCCGCTCTAGGCGCGCAGAGACCAGCCGGTCTCTCGGTGGTACGGACCTCCGGCCGGCCGCGGGCGGCAGGGAGCCCGGCGGGGAGCCGGGCAGGGGGCAGAGCCGGACTGCAGCTCCCGCGCCCCCGCAGCCTTGAACGCCGCCTGCCCGCCAAGTGTGAATGGCTGACAGGGGTTGTGTCTCCCGGGAGCTGTAAATGCTGGCGTTGAGAACCAGGCAGAGCTCCCGGCGCCCAGCGGCCCCGGGCCCCAGGGCGTGCGTCCCCCCTCCGCCTTCGGGCACGGGCCGAGGGCCGCTCCTCAGAGAGGCGAGGCCTGGTGCGGCGCGGGCCGCAGAGGGCTTCCGCCTCCTTCCCGTGGCGGGCAGCGCTTCCCGAGCCTTGCCGCAGAGGCTCACTCCAAGCCCACGAGGAATGTCCTCCAACATCTTCCTTCTACGGACCAGGGACTGAAGCTGGAGAAGCCAGGTCACTTCGGCGAGGTCACACAGCTAGTGAGTGGCCAGGCCGACCGCCTCGAGGGCCACGCTCCTGCCCTGGCCATGCGTTTGGTCCTGCGGGAGC